CAAAAAAAAAAAAAAAAAAAAAAAACCCCAAAAAACAACAAACAAAACCCAAGCTTATTAACAAGTCTTGTGGGTGAAACAAGGGGCACATTGGAAGCAGATTCAGGAAATAACATTGACAATACTGGCTTAAAAATTCATATTTTTTTTTCAGTACTGGAGATTGAATTTGCTGACATACCACTAAGCTATGTCCCCAGTACTTTTATTTGTTTCATTTGTTGGTTGGTGGTTAGTTGATTGGTTGACTGGTTGGATGGTTGGTTGGTTGATTTTCTTTTGTTTTTGAGACAAAGTCATTCTAAATTGCCCAGGCTGGCCTCTAACTTTCAATCTTCCTGCCTCAGTCTCCTACGTAGCTGGGATTAAGGTGTGTACCTCCACCACTCCTGGGCCAGATATTTTTTTAATTTTGTTTTTTATATAAGCTTCTTTGAGCCCTTTTCAAAAATCATTCAGTATTTTTCAGAGATAAAGTATGGTTGTTTTTAGTACAACTTCAAACACATTTTATTTAGTATATATTATTTTATTTATTTATCAAGTGTCAGGTGCCTCCTGTATGCTACTCTAATAATGGACATAAATTATTAACTCAGAATAGTTGGAAACAACTCTACATTCATCAGCCTGACGAGCATATCTTTTATCTCACACAATCTTTTCTACAATCTCCTAAAAAAGTAATGTCTTTTGGAATTTTATGCTTTCTACAAAGTGCATGATCCCTGGTGTCTTAGTTACTTTTCTCTTATTACTGAGACAAAATACCCAACACCTAAAGTTAAAAGGGGAAAGATTTATTTGGCTTAACAGTTCACAGAGGTTTCAGTCCATAATCTTCTGGCTCCAAGGCAGGTTGGCAGAGGGGCAGCAGTTCATGGGTAGAAGACAGAAAAAACAACAAAGGACCTTCACAGCAGTCTTTCTACCTCTTTTATGTTATTCAGACTACTTAGGGCAGGTGGTGCTCATGTCCTTAATCCTAGTGCCCTGGGGTCTAGCCCCACCATGAATCAGTCACACACTCATATTCAGCCACCTCTGAGAAAGCATGAGTCTTTGAGGGGACTCTAAACACAAGCCATAACACCTGGTTAGACAAATCACGTAATTAGAGTGTTGGGCTTGACATCTGATATCTTCTTCTCTGTCACTATATTCTGTGCATTAAAATCTTAATATAGTCAATTCACTAAATTTTGCTAGGTTAGTGTTATTAAAGCAAACTGCTCACACCAGTAATTTATTTTATTCTTTTGTGTTGCACTAAAGAGGTACTGTGCCCTGTAGCAATATTCCTTAGCAAGACTTAGATGAACTTAGCATGGTAGTACATATACTCCTGTAATGGAATAAACAGCTGGAGGGAAGTGTGGAGTTAAGGGCTGGGAATATAGTGCAGTGTGATGTTCTGGGTTCAATCCCCACTAAGGCAAAAAACAAAAACCAAACAAACAAAAAAGAAAAAGGTATACTATTTCTCTTTCTTTCTTTCTTTCTTTCTTTCTTTCTTTCTTTCTTTCTTTCTTTCTTTCTTTTTTTTTTTTTTTAATGTTCTGGGGATTAAACCTGGTTTTAACCAGCACTTTTACTACATTCCAGCCTACTTCCTCCCCTCCCCTGGTACCGGGGATTGAACTCAGGACTTTGCACTTGTGGGGCAGGCGTGATGCCACTGAGCTACATCCCCAGCCCTTTTTATTTTTTATTTTGAGACTGGGTTACACTAAGTTACCCAGGCTGGGCTCAAACTTGTGATCCTCCTGCCCTAGCTTCCCAAAGTCCTAGGATTATAGGCAGGTCCCACCATGCCCACCCATGGCTAGGTAGGTCATTCTTTTGCCAGTATGAGACATAGGCCATTGTAAAGGACATGGGAAATGAAAGCATGTATTTTGCCTAAAATATGCATACATTCTCAGTTTTACACGAGTCATGTGCAAGCTGTGGTTATACAAGTTGATTCCCTGTGTTAGAAGGAAATAGACAAAAAGAACCTAAGAGTGAGCTAAACAAAGCTGAATAGATGACTTACCTGGAAAGGGAGAGCTACATCATTAGAGTATAAAGTTGATTTCCAAAATAAATGGCAAAGAGGTGGAGGTGCATCAAGTCATACAAGATCTTGGTTCTAATTTCTGTTTTATGCAAGATGAATTACAAACTAGTCCTTGTTATTGATCACTTTCAAATTTTATCTCTAGTACTCAAATACCTGGTTTCCAACAGGCCCAGTCTGTCTGTTTCACCACATCAGTTTATTTGCAAATACTCAGTACTTTGCAAGATTTCTCTTTGCTCTCACCCTAGCAAGTCTATAAGCACCCCAGATTGAATACTCATAGTCTAGTGGCCATGTCTAAAGAAGAACAGAAACAGTTCTGGGTGTGGTTGGGCCATGTTCAACTATAAAGCACAGGAAGAGATTCATAGAGTGGGTAGCATTTGAGTCAGGCCTAGAAGAGAGCTAGCAAAGGTTGTCTTTTATCAATTACTATTCATTAAATAGAGGAGCTTTAAGTAAATCATAATTTTATTTCTAAGGCAGAGAGCAATTCCTTACTGTTTATGGGGATCTGAATCACACAAATGTTTTCAGAGCATCAGTACAAGTATTTCCAACATTAAGACTCAACACCGTGAAGTTAGCAGAGTCTTCTCCATAACATGGGCAGTGCTTTGCAGAACTCTGTACTCTTGGCCCCTCCAGTGACCATTGTGGAGTGGTTCTCTGGGACTTGCATACAATGCAATAGATGTTGTCTGTGGAGCTCAATTTCCAAGGATTCCTACCTTAGCCAGGGACTATAATGTCACTCACATTCACCTACTAGACATTATCTCAAAGGTCAATGAATCTCTGATCCTTTTTTCAATCTTTTTTTCCCCTTTATGCTTCAGTTTAGATAAATGTTACTGATCTGCATTCAAGTTTATTGACCTTTTTCTTTTGTAGTAGTCAATATCCTATGTAGGGATGCCCATGAATTTTTTAATCTAAGATATTTCACCCTTCAGTTCTATAATTTCTGTCTAGTTCTTTAATATCCATTTTCTCTGCTGATATATCTTAACTTTCAATCATTATGCCCATTTTGCCCTCTTAAAATTTTGAAAATATTTAATAGTTGTTTTAAGTCATTGTCTGCTAATCCTGCCTGTGTCATTCCCAGGGCTCTTTCTGTTGAATACTTTTTCTCTAGCTTATGACTCACATTTTCCAACTTTCTCATGTATCCAGTAATTCCTGCTTGTATGCCCAACATTGTAGATGATAGTTTGTTGGGACTCTGGATTATGCTATTTTCTTTTAAAAGATTTTGAATTTTATTCCGGCAATAAGTTCAGTTGTTGATGAATTACTTTGATCCTAGCATGCTTGGCTTTATGCTTTATCAGCAAGTCTGTTTAGTTTTTTTCCTTAGTCTTTGGCATGAAACTCAGTATTGTGTTCTATCTATTCTTTAATAACTACTAGTTACTCCTTTGCTTCTTTCTTTTCTGTTTAGGAACAGATTTCCACAAAGAAGGCCATATTCATGCAGGAAGACACAGGAACTTTTGAGGAGGTCTTGAAGCAAGAATCCTTGCCAGGTACATCCGATATGACTCCAGCAGTGCCTCAGCAGAGTCCTCCTTCAGAGTCAGCTGACCAGACTGAGCAGAACTTTGACACTCCACAAGAAATTAACTTTGAGAAGATGCCTCCTCTTCAAGTTGCTCATGAAATGCTTCTTAGTTCCAAATCCCCTCCTTAGATTATCAGAATGGAGAGAATTCTACTGACCTTTCTTTAACACTTCAAGCCAAGAAAATGAGCATGAAGATAATCTCTCACCTAAACTAAGATTTGAGGGATTGTGAAAGGAGGTGTCTGAAAGTTCTCTCCCACCTAATGACTGAGCTGCTAGTCATGAAACCCCTAAATCATGAGAAAATTTAAACTAGTTATAGGATAAAATCAACTCACAATAAGGATTAAAACAAGTAACAAAACTGATGAGACTTTTTTCCTGTTTTATTATCATACATGAGCTCATATTTTCACCTTCTTTTTGTAATAGGTTTCATGGGGTATTTGCACGTATCCTGGAGACTTTCTGTGTCACTAATAATAGGTGATTTTTTTCACTGTATATTACCACTATTTTTTTCTTTTTATTGTGATAAAACACTGTGATAAAATGTACCCTCTCTACTATTCTGGAGTATACAGTACAGTGTATTAAGTACAATCATAGAGTTGTCAACAGTCACCAACAATCACTGCCAAAACTTTTCATCTTACAAAACTAAAATTTCATACCCATTAAGTAATAATTCACCATTGTACTCTCTAGCTACACCCTAGAAACAGCCATTCTGCTTTTCTCATTCTATAATGCCATTCTAAATACCTCATAAAAGTAGAATCATGCAGTATTTGTCTTTCTGTGATTTTTGTTGTTGTTGTTGTTCCAGGCATCAAACTCAGGCCCTTGAGCTTGCAAGGCAGGCAGCAGAACCACTGTGCTAAATCCCCAGCCCATTTGTGACTTTTTTATTTAGTATAATGTCCTTGAGGTTCATCCACATTGTATTATGTGCCTTTCCTTCCTTTTTAAGGATGAATCATATTCCATGCTGTGTATGAACCACATAGAATGCCAGTGTCTGCATTTGACCATCACACTGTGCTGCCATATGTGATGTGTGAAATAAGGGAAATTAGTCACTGATAAGGTGAAGATACTATGGCTATGGGAAATCCAATATGGTGGCCAGGTACCTACCATGGTGTAGGGTGGCTTTTCCTGCAATAAAAGACAAAGGAGGAAAAGCATGTGTGGACATGCTGATTATAGGGCATCTATGAATGGAACTGCACACACTCGGGAGGAAGTCATTTATATACAGGATGTGCAAGACGGGATGAGAGTTTCAAGGGCCATATTAGAATTCTTCCTACTATACCCACAACTCTTCAGCAAATAGAAAGCTACATCAGAGAAACAAGGCAAAGAAGGAATTCAGAGGCATTCAGTGGCCAGAGTCAGTGAGGACCATACAGTGGAGGAATCCCCCTCTGAAAGAAGATGAGAAAAGACTCTAGTAGGGAAGCACCAATGGAATGATGCAAATTGATTATAT